ACCTTTATGGAATTTTTTAAATTGAGCCCATTTGCTTATTCCTAGTTGGCTAGGAATTAAGACTCAGAAATAAGACTATTGCTCAAAAATATCAGCATAGTGACAACAGTTAGCATTAGAAATTCCTATCTTAATATATGGCACCCCTTCTCAACCAGTTACTCAAACTAGAGATGTGGTGGGTGGATATTCTTGTTTCTAAGCTCTCCTTTTTTTGGTGATCCTCTTCAACTCCCTCCTCCTCTGCCCCCCTCCATTCTCCTGCTCTTCAGCCTCCTCCATTCAGTCTGTCAGCAATCCCTGTTGAAATTGGCACCAAAATGTCTTCTGACCTCACTTCTTCCTTTCCTGGGTCACTCCAGCTACCCTGGTGTCGCCCACCTGAGGTCCCCACATTGACTGCAGCTGGGGCCTCCGGACTGGCCTCTCTGCATTCACTCCTCTTCCCCACCAATCCATACACCACACCAAACTTTCTGGAAATATGTTGACTCTTGGCAGATCTCCACTTGAAATTTATTAACAGATTCCCCCTCTTGAAACTAAGAATGAAACCCAAACTCCTGTGTAGCCCACAAAGCTCTTGCATTGTGTGGCCTCCCAGTTCCTCTCAGGTACCCCATCCCTTGCTTTTTCTTCAGGAAGTCCACTTAGCACACCCTCTTTTTTTTTTTCTTTTTCTGAGATGGAGTCTCCCTCTGTCACCCAAGCTGGAGTGAAGTAGTGTGATCTTGTCTTACTGCAACCTCCACCTTTTGGGCTCAAACAATTCTCATGCTTCAGCCTCCCAAGTAGCTGATGATTACAGACGCTTGCCACCACACCTTGATAATTTTTGAATTTTTAGTAGAGATGGGTTTCACCATGTGGGCCAGGCTGGTCTGGAACTCTTCATCTCAAGGGATCTGCATTCCTTGGCCTCCCAAAGTGCTGGGATTACAGGTGTGAGCCACCATGCCCAGCCTTCTCTTTCTATTAATAGAGTTCTTCCAGAGTCCTCTCTTTGCCACCTTTCAAAAGGACATTGCAGTGTGTTGCTGTCAATATATTTGATTAATATTCATCTACACACACTACATATACCCACACTTAAAAACATACCCAGGGATAAATTTCAAGAGCTCAGGTACCATCTATTCCTTATTTACATGTTCTATCTCTCAGTATCTGGCATACAGCAGGTAATCCTATGTATTTATTGGGTGAGTGAATAAATCTATTGCAGGTAGGCCAGTACACTTAGGAGGGCCTGGGCTGGATGCTCTGTCATTGGTGTACTAGGTTTTTCCATTTATCCACGTTCTTAGTATGCACAGGGTTTCACGAACAGACTTAAAAGTATACCTTTAACTACAGCTACTTGTCTTTCAGCTAGTGTCTCACCTAGGAAAATGAGGCGAAATACAATCACATTAAATGCAAATCTGATCCTGTGTCATAAATAGTTCAGAAGTGAATGTATTCTCATGCCTGTAGTCTTCTGGGAGGTGATCCACACTGCTGAAATGCATACAAGTTGACTTTAGCTGGGAGATACATAAACATGGTTTTTCTCCTGGACAATTCTGGGCTTTCACCAGATAAAGGACAACCTCCTAGCTAATTAGCATGCTCACAGAAAATAAAAAAATAAAAAAAATAGTTTGAACTCCCCCACCCTCACAGCATAGTTTTTAAAAACCCAGAGTGCCAACAGATATTAAATACAGAATGTATCTTCAAATTAATGAGTTTTCATAATTGAACTTGAGAAGGGACATAGAGTGAAGTGAAGTCTTAGCAGGGAGAACATCCAAAAAGCTTCCAGATGACTGTATTTAGCCCATTAGTGTGCCATTTATATATGCCAGTTAGAAATAATTGAGTGGTGGCACAGTTTTTAGAGCACATTCTCAGGATGCTCCTTTACTTTTATTTTCCAAATTGAGGTATAAAGTTTAGATGGCATTTAAAAGAGACTCAGAGGTGTAGTTTGACCAAGAGGCAGTTTTGCAAACTCATTCCAGATTGTGTCTGTCATTTGGTGTTAAATTGGACCTAAATGAGTCATTTATTGGGGAGGTGAGAAAGGGTGTTATATTTGAAAAATGCCCCAAGCATTTCCAGTAGACTTCATTTGCACTCTGTTTCTGATGGAACCATCTCTTCAGTTAAATGTAAGAGATCTAGGTCTTCCATGGCAGAGATTTGTTATACTAGGACAGACAGGAAAGGGTTTTAAAAACCCATGACATGACATGCTGAATCTCTGCACATGCATGTATGGGTATGAATGTAAAAGCACATATGCATTTTCTCTGGGAAATAGGTCCACTACTTTTATCAGACTTTGTCAGTGGGTCAGGGTTGCCAGAAGGATATTTCTTTCCAGTTCAGGAAGAGGGATCAAGTGGAAAAGGTTTGAGTTAGGCTTCAGGTGGTAATGGCCCAAGAAGAAAATTGCAACAGAAACTACAAATTACTCTACAAACGCAGCAGGAGGAGGACATTTCCTGCAAGTAATCCTGCAGCGTGCACACCCTTGTGAAGAGTAGTTTCAACATGAGGAGACCAGAGCTTCCAGGGTCAGAATTTAGTGCTTATAGGCTGACCCTGCAACCAATCTGGCATCTACTAATTTGAGGAACCAAAAGAGGTGGTCCTTTGAAGGGAGGCATGCCACTCTCACGGTAAATGCACAGGTCTTTCACTGAGTTTTTTGCTTTTACATTTAAAATATCTTTCCCCTCGAGAGGTGAACAAAAATAAAACATTACTAAAATGTAAAAAAAATAGGAAACAGCAGTTCCTATTAATTCTGATTTCCAAGGTTCATTTTGAAATGAAAATGACTTTAAATTTTGTCTTGATTATAAAAAGTATTCTCTGCACTATAAAAATAAATAAGGTAGGTAATATGGGAACATATAATGATAAGGGGAAAACTCCACCCATAATCCCACTTTTTCTTTGCATTGTTATGTATGTTCACACCAAAAATGGGCTGAAGCTATACATGGTTGTTTATAACCCAGACACTTGTAAAGTCCACATTGAAGAGGAAAAAAAAAAAATTCCCATGTGCATGCAAAAGAAAATGGGTATGGTTTTCATCATTTACATTTTCTGACTCTGGAATCTTCAGCATGTCTCCCTGGGAAGCTAGAGGTATTGTTCTTTTGGGGCAGAAGCTGAGTTCACTGTTGGGGGAGAAACTAGTAGTTGCAGAGCCAGGTTCCATCAATTCTTTGGAAGCTAATCCAACCAAATCAAGTGAGCTGAGCCCTTGGTCCTCAGAAGAGAACAGCGGTGATGTGGGGTTATGGCGGTGTTTGTTCCCACCCAAACATCGGTGTGTTTTCCTAGCATTCGCACCAGTGTATGTTTTTCTCCTTGAATTGGATTGAATTAAGCCTCTCATACAGTTTTCTCAAGACCTCCAGGCTAGCTTAGAATATGGTCCTCAAATTTCTCCCACAGGTACATCAAGTATAATTTTAAACAGTCTATCTTGCCTTCATTAAATACATACCTAATTGTTCTCAATTTTGAATCCTTGCCAATACCTACATTCAAATATGTAATAGTCAAGAGCAAATGAAGTTTTTGTCCTCTTTGGGCTTTCTTTAGATACTTGTTTCAAAGCAAGGACTAGAAGGAGAGGAATTCTAGGGACCCGAGAATTGAATGAAAATGAAAGGACCTTGCAAATTTCCAGCAGAATTTCAGGAGAATGAAAGATGAAGGCTACCTGGGGAGACAGCAAGGAAGAATGGTCTTGATAGGGTTGATCGTAACACCTGATGGTAGATTTGGGCTCTGTAAAGAACTTTAGGGATCTAGAAAGCTCAAAGTCAAAGCTCTTATAAAGTACTTTAAAACCACGAGCTCTGCAGGATCTGTAAGGGAGGATGGAGAGGCCCTTCCTGTCTTCTACCCCGTACAATGCTTTAAATCGGGTAAGTATAGTGACATGGTGTGGATATGAGGTATGACTTCAGGATTTTCGTTTTGAATAGGGAATGCTAAACACCTGAGATTACCACAGTCTTTTATTGGAGAAAATAAGAACTACAGTTATTTTATTTCTTACCCACTATTTTCCCTCCCATTAGGTCTTACTCTCCATTCATTCACCATTCTAACAGAGCATTTCATAAAATGAGAAGGGTCTTTGCTGAGCAGCTTTTAATGAACAAGCAGTTGGTTATTCAATTAAAGTTAAATGGAACTCTTCCCCTTTGAATGTTACAATACTTGGACTTTGGACAAGTTGTAAGTCTAAGAAAGGTGATCCCCAGAGGCCAACTCATATACAGAGTTTGATCCTGGTTTTCAACCAACAGTACTGTCATCAGTTTAAGAGGCAAAGTGTAATGCTTACAAAATTGATTAGCTAAGAATTATGGAAGTTCTTCATATATTAGTAATTTATACACATAGAAATACCAGTAAACATATAATGCTAGGCATGATTTTTTAAACGTCTGACCTCTGTTTCTTTTAATAGTCTAAAAGAACAGATAGCAAACTCTTAGAGAGGAATTGGGTATTTTATTATTAAAAGATGCAAGACATGGAGTCCTGAGGAGCATCTTTAGGCCTGATTATATTTCTTCTGGATATTATAGCCTTATATAGTAAACCACTCACGGTATTTGGAGTCACATATTTTTGTCAAAATGAGGATGTTAAAACTGATCCATCTTGCAGTAAATGAGCATAGCATCTTAGCTGAGAACCTGTGATGAATAACGGATTTGTTTTCCGCTATAGCCCAGAGAACAGTATGGGTTGTGATTATGTCTTTCTATCTGGCCCACTCCTCTGTTTGTCTGCCAATCACCTGGGGATTTATCTGCATTCAGCATTAGCTGGAGAAAGGTGGGAGCCAAATTACTGTTGATATACTTATGTATGTGTATGCAGAAGTGTGGAACAAAGACAAGCTGGTGGAAAACACCCACTCAGAGAACCAATAATAATCTTTTCTTCTTGCCCCTCTCCCTGCTTACTTTCAGCAACCACTGGAAAGGAAAGACAGCCAGAATAGTTCTCAGCACAGTGTTTCCAGCCACCGGAGCCTGCACACAGCATCCCCAAGCCACAGCACACAGGTGCTCCCCGAGTTCCCACCTGCAGAGGCCCAAGCTCCAGATCAAACTGACAGCTCTGGCCAGAAAAAACCAGATCCTTTTAAAATCTGGGCCCAGTCCAGGAGCATGTATGAAAACCGACGTGAGTAACATCCTGGCCTCTCTCGTATGTAGACCCCTCTGCAGGGCTCTACCTTTCTCTTGAAGGTTATTGAAAATAGAGGTATTGCATTGTGTGAACTGGATAAAGCAAAATCAGCAAGAGGCAAAAGTATCACAGAGGGAGTGGACTCCGCTGGCTGTCCATGGAGGCGCCACTATGCCTCCACTTTCGGGAGGGGGTAGAAGTGGATGGTTATCAAATAAATGCCCTGGGTAAAAATGTTTTTTTTTGTTTTTTTTTTTCTTCCCTCTGGTTAAAAGGAATGGTAGATAAGAGCTGCTGTCTCATTAATTCTCTGAGTGGAGATTGTGATGTGCTCCTAGCACAAACTTGCTATGCAATAGAACTTAAATATGATTGGCTGGGATTGTAGGGCTAATGAGAAGAAATTAAGTGCTTTTCAAGTGGTCTCTTGATTTTTAAAAATGCTGGTAATTTTTTTTAACCATTATCAATCTTTCTAAACATTTCCCTCAGAAAGGAAAAAAACAATAGCAGTGAGTGGTTTGTGCTTTAATTACTTACCCAGTGCTTTGCCTTTTCTATAAATATGAGCTAGTGATGGTATACTTCATAACTTCTTGGCTTGTATAAACATAATATCGTCCTCATGTTTAATGTCTTACTTTTTATTATGAAATAATTTCCAAAAACTATTTACCATAAATAATGTTCTTACCAATATAAGTTCTGAAAATGCATTAGTTTTAGGCAATGCAAATTGCCTTTTGTTGCTGTTGGGGTGCTGTTTTCTGATGTTTTCTTACGAGCATAGTTGGTCAGGGTGAGGCAGCTATGAAGCCCAGATCCCTCATTTTCTCTTTTTGGCATGGGGTAGGAGAGACATGTTATGACACTGGAGATTAGGTTTGTTGAAGGGTCTGAGACAAGCTAGAAGAGTGAAGGGAATCATTTTGCTCATCCTCCCCTCTACACAGGTTTCATTCCCAGCTGCAACTGTGGTCACCACTCAGCAGGGCTCCCATCGAGTGTTGTGGCAGAGAGGTTGTGTGAGGTGTGGGGGCCCCAGCCTCCTGCCTACCACACAGACTTGGCTGTACTGTGCTTCCTTTGCCAGCCGAAGTACGTGCTGGGAGCCTTCGACTCCTCTGTGACCCAAGCAAAATGGGACAGTGAGGCCAGCATCCTTGTCTAAGGAGGAAAGTTCGTCAGTCCACTGAGTAATGCACAGCAGTTGTGGGGCAGGGGTGAGCCTGGAGTTTTGCTGGTTATCAAATGTTCGGAGTTGCTCAGGGCTTCATCCTTTCCTCCTCCATCTCCTCCTCCTCCTCCTCCTCCTCCTCCTCCTCCTCCTCCTCCTCCTCCCCGCCTTCCTCCTCCTCGATATATTACTGCCTTCCTCCTCCTCCTCCCTCCTTCCTCCTCCCTCCTCCTCTATACATTACTGCCTTCTTACTACCATGATGCATGGAATTAAACAGGCTGTTTTGGCTACGAGTTCACTCTGCTGACAAAAAGCCCATTAGTTTGAGCAGTGACTTATTTAGTCACTGGGCTAGAAAGACACCCCTAACATACCTCCGAGGCCAGGCTAAAGGAAATGAAGTTCCATTTGGAATGACCTCACACACAGTGGATGCTAACCAGGAACCAGTTTCTGTCCTCACTGTGTCTCCTTGCTCATTGTAGTGATTTCACTGAAGAAAACCGTTTAAGAGATGTTTACAAAGAGGAGCGTTTTCACATTCCCTCCACATTTCTCTCTAAGCGTGTGGCTCCTCCAGTCAATGGCCCAACTTCAGTTAATGTTGATATATTGCTTTATTGACCATGCTCCTGCTTTCCTCAATACAGTACACATTTATGATTGAGTTTTCCTGTATGAATCTTTTTGTAATAAAATGAATTGTGTTTTGAAGGGGTGGTAGGGGTATCATGGGTTGACAGGACAATTCTAAAACATCCGTTTAATAGGAGGCTCTTGCTCAAATGCCATTTTCACCCTGGTGTAGGCGCATTTTCTTAAGACTTTGATTTAATCAAACGTTTTCTTAAAAGTTTTCACTAGGAAAAAAAAAAAAAGAAAAATATGTCGTATGGCCATAGCCAGCTGCTGTAAGCACTGAAATTGCTCAGGTGACAGCCGGACTGAAATATTTGGGGATTGGCAGGGTGGCTCATGCCTGTAATCCCAGCACTTTGGGAGGGCGAGGTGGGCGAATCACAAGGTCAGGAGTTCAAGACCAGCCTGGCCAATATGATAAAACCTCACCTCTACAAAAAATTAGGTACATGCCTGTAGATCCAGCTACTCTGGAGGCTGAGACAGGAGAATCGCTGGAACCTGGGAGACGGAGGTTGCAATGAGTGGAGATTGCACCACTGCACTCTAGCCTGGCAACAGAGTGAGACTCCATCTCAAAAAAAAGAAAAATATTCAGAATGGTGCCAGTTTTGTTCCTTTACTTTCTTTAACATCTGAACAATCAGATAGAGCAGCACAAATGAGAATCTATTCCTTTTTGGTAATTGGAGCCTCTGTAGTTGACTAATAGATAGTAGCAACCTAATTGATGTTAAGATTCACATGGATTTCTTCCTCAGTACTAAATGAGGATAATGATGAGACATCCCCCTGGCCCCCATGGTAATTACTCAGTATATGTCACAGATTTTCTTCTTTTCACAGTACCTAGGAATGAACCTTGTCTTTGAATCAGTATTTTTCTTTATCTCAGCATCAATCTTGTCTTTGAATCTGTATTTTTCTTTATCTCAGATCAGTTTCTGCCATTCCCTTAAGTTGTTTGGTATCTTGTCTTTGGAAGAAAAAAAAGTGTGTAGCCTTATTAGATATGATTCCCTTCCCCTTCCCCACAAGACAGTAAAGTGAGCAGAGTATTCCAGGAAAAACAGGAGAATTGAAGTCAGCAACAGCAGCTTAACTGTGCCATATTACCCTCTTTTTGTTGAAAATACATTTTCCATTTTCTTTTCTTTTATTATTAGGGGCAATGTGAAGTATAACACAATATCTGATCACATTCCTTCACATGGTCTAGATGTGTTGCAATATACCATATTTTTGATATGGTCATCTCTCAAAGCAACAGTATTAGAATGAATCTGTCTGAATTACAAATGTGTTCATGAATCCCTTTGAAGGGCTTCAATGTTTAATTGAAAACAAAGATGAGCATTGAAGTTCTTTAAAAGCCATGTTGCCTTTTTATAGTTTTTCTAAAATTGTGTACATCTTTAAAAATGACAGTGATGCAGTCTTAGTAACTGTTTAGGAAAATCAGATCGTATCCAGTAGCATTTACTACAAAAGAAATTATAAGGCTTGTGGTAGAAACTTTGCCTGTTCACAATATAGTTTGGACAGAACAAGCTCAAAACTGTCCTATTAACAAACATTGCAAATCTGTCCTGCTTTGGAGAGACGTGCTTACAAGTTTGGAAGGTGGCAGTTGAGCTTCTTTATCATACTGAGCTTAAGAAGTTTGGGTGACCTCTAGATTTTAAGAGCTATTATGACTGTTCATATTTGTTTGTTCAATTCTCAGACCCATTGATTTGTGACTCTAAATATAACATGATTCTGGCTTGAAATGCTTAGAATTCACTTGAACAGATATTAGTATAAGAATGAATTTTATCCTGAATTTGATACACTTTTGAATAAATGCTGTAGTGTAGTGGTAGCACAAATATACTTAAATTTTTCAAAAAGCAGTAAGGGTTTAGACAAACCATGATTGAAATAAGGCCACTCAAGAATGTGTACTTCAGAGTGTCATTAAATAAGGAGAGTTTAAGATGGTAATAGGAGTTATAGGAAACTCTCAATGGTAAAATTGTAAATTCTAGTTTTTGAAAAGTAAAGCAGCATGAAAAAAAAGAAAAAAGGGAATCAAACTATAGTCTTTTAAAATAACAGCCATGACCTTTATTGTGAAAGCTGAACTGCCTGTTTCTTATCAATCAAAACTAAATTAAAGTGAACTAAGAAAAAGAATGTACATTAAGCTCTGCAAAATTGTGAAATTAATATTCCAGCTATGTCACCTTCACCTGCATCGGGATTGAGCAAGGGTGAGAGAGAGAGAGAAAACAATTCCACGAATTTTGGAGAATGTCCGAGTAAGGATCTGCTGAAAACTTTTGTCTCTCCATTCTCATTCATCTTGTTTGATGTTCTCACTGGTCTGGGGGCCTGGGGAGAAGTTCAAAAAAGAGAGGGAAGAAAAGAGGGGCATGAAGGGAAGTGCTCTTTGGAGCTCTTGTTGACCAAATGCAAACCAAAGACAAGATGGAATAAAAAGGGTTTTGCATGCCTTGTTAAGTCTGGAAATCTGCTAGTACGTCTGTAGTAATGGTGACACCAGGAGGTTTCTCTACAAACCTGGTGTTTCCATTCATTCTGATTATCAAAGGAAGTCTGTTAACTGCTTTATTGAATTGTCACTGGCATTACCAAAAGGAGACTGACTACAGAAATTGTTCATATGCAAGAGCTTACAAATAAAAACTGGACACGGTTTTCTTAGCTGTATTCGATTTAGACTCAGTCAAAAAAAGTGTTACTAATATCAGAAAAATGGCTCTACCTTACTACTACCTACAAACTTAATTCTAATACAGTCTGCCTGAAATAAGGAAAAAAAGTATTTTGGGGGAAGTACTTTAAAAACTTCAATGCCTCTAAGAAGAGTTGGACTCAGAGGACACAAAAGAGAAAAATTTTATAACCCCGTAATGGGTTCAGTACTGACTTATTGTCACAGTTATACATTTGAGTAAATGACATTTAGTTAGTAGAAGAGTAGAATTGTTAGAATGCCAAAATTAAAGTAGCAAAAGACTTTCTTTGTAACATGTCTGTGTGTCAACGTTTATGTCTGTGTTTTCTAGCCCATTGTTGTGTCTTTAACATCCCTAGTGTCAGTGGGCATCCTCCTTTTCAATAGAACACCTTTAAACAAATTTGCCATGTGTCCACTGACTCTCAGAAGAAACGAAGCCTTTTTTTTTTTATGTGGACTAAACAGTGTGATAAGCCTAAATCTGTTGGCCACAACCTCCCATACCGTGCTAGCTCACACCTAAATGAGCAACAGTAGGCAGAAACTTGTTAAATTCTTTGTCACTGTAGGATAGGCAAATGTTCCAGAGTTAAATGATGCTGAGAAAAATGAAGCTGGGTTAGAAGTCTCTGCAGAGGCCCTTTCATTGTTTCCAGAAAGGCCACACACTCAGTGGACCTAAAACAGACTGTGCCAGTAACCCAGTGCTGGCAGGAAAGCACCAGTGGTCTATTTCAGTAATAATCCTCCTCCTTGAGTGAACCAAAGACTGAGACATAACTTGATTTAATTTGTTGTTTCAATGAGGCTATTACAGCAAATATCCTTTAGCCAGCTAGTCAAACAGAAAGAAAATATTGTTACCTTAGCGTTCTCAAGAAAATATTACTCTAAAATTGTGTTTATGGAAGTCATGCTGTAGCTTAGCTTCGTGCTCCATGGTGTTTCACAGCTTAGCCTCAGCAATTATAATAAAAGCAATGGATAGAAAGCACCCATTTAAAGCCCTGGCATTAAGATAGCTCAAGTAAAAATATCAGATTCAAACCCCTCGGACTTGTACTTACTGGTCATTTGGTTTCTTCTCTGTTGGTGTATTCATTCACTATACATTTTAAGTTTGTGGGTGAATCACTAAAAAGGGACATTTCTTCACCAGCGTAAAATCTAAGCATCCACCTTCTTCTTTCCTATTCCATTGTACAAAGCTGAAAAAGAAAAGAATTACAATCTCAGGCCTGCACATTCCTTCAGCTTCAAATCCAGTTAATTAAATAAGAAAGTAGGCACAACAGCATTTGAAAATCTCTTTTAGGATTGACTGCAACTGAATTATATTTTTTTCTTTTTAAATAAAAATGAAATCATTTAATAGGTCATAAAACACCCTGTATATACATTAAAACATTAAATAAGAATTAAATAGAAATAACTCTCTTTTACTTGAGTGAAGTAACAGAGTGTTTTGTAGAACAATTTCATATATAGTAAGCATTTTCTTAAAGAAATTACATTTCTTTAAAAAAAAAACGAGATATTCATTTTAAAGCCCTAGACCATTACTGAGTGTTGAAAGTAAAATATCAAGTTATTGGAAAATGAATTAATACTTTTAATGTTGAAATATCACAGTCAAATTCTGGAATAAAACAATTATTTTGGCAATGAGATATATGGTTTAATATAATATAGACTTTTGTCATCACCATTAATCTTAAGGATTTGGAGGCCTGGCTGATTTTGGTAATAGTATTGAAATCCTAATAAACTTTGTACAGTCACCCCTCAGTATCTGCTCGGGATTGGTTTCAGGATATCTGCATCCCCCACCAATGATATAAAAATCCATGGATTCTTAAATCCCTAGAAAATAGCATAATATTTGTGTAACACACACACACACACACACACACACACACACACACACACACAACCTTCCTATATAATCTATTTTTTGTTGTTTATTTATTTATTTATTTGAGACAAGGTCTTACTCTGTCACCCAGGCTGGAGTGCATTGGGCAATCATAGCTCACTGCAGTCTCAACCTCCCTGGCTCAAGCAATTCTCCCACCTCAGCTTCCCGAGTAGCCAGGCACACACCACCACACCTGGCTCATTTTTTGTTTTTCTATTTTTATTTTTATTTTTGTAGAGGCAAGGTCTTACTGTGCTGCCCAGACTTGAACACCTAGGCTCAAGTGACTTGCCCACCTCACCCTCCTGAAGTGCTGGGATTGCCACTGTGAGCCACTGCACCACCTCCTCCTATATACTTTAAATCGTCTCTACATTACTTATGATATCAAATACAATGCAAATACCATGTAAATAGTTGTGGTACTGTATTACTTAGTAAATAATGACAAGAAAAAAATCTGTACATATTCATCACAGCTAAAACCATTGTAGGTCTAACAGATTTTCTGCCTGTGATTGCTTGACTCTAAGGATGCAGAACCCACAGATTTGGAGGGCTGACTGTATGCGGAAATATTAGGATGTTTGAGAGTCATTTTTTGCAAAAATGATTTAACAAATCAAATTCTTAGCATTGCTAGTCTTCATTATTTTAAGGAAGAAGAAAGTGACTTAAAGATAAATCAGAAAGTCTTTTTAAAACAAGCTCTTCTCTTTCATCTTCTAGTAGATGAAACATCTGGTGACAACATGACTTCACAATCCTTAGAGCTAGCTTCAGAGGTGACTCTGACTTAGTCTGAGTTCTGTTCTTGGACATGGACACCTACTTTGTGGTGCGGCTCATCATAATTTTAATTTACTTAATTCCCCTTGCAAGAATACTGAGTAAAGCAGTTAATGCTATTTGTATTTACGGATCATGGCTTGGGCTTGACTGGGAATTATCAAATAGGGATTAGTCCTTTGAAGACCTTTAGGGCTCAGTGACTATTTCCACTATTTACTTTATCCCTGTGTCTTTTGTTATTTTACCTGTTCAGAGTATTTTGTTTCTTTGCCTATGTTGAAAAGCTTCCATCTGAACAAGCACCACCATTCTTGGTCCTACAGTTTTGTTCATCTTGGGGGTATCATTGTTTTTATCAGGAAAATAACCTATCTCTTCTTCTCCCCTCTCTGTAGTTCCAGATTACCAGGAACAGGACATCTTCCTCTGGAGAAAAGAGACTGGATTTGGATTTAGGATTCTGGGTGGAAATGAACCAGGGGAACCTGTGAGTCTTTTGCTTGTCTCTCTCCCCAGCATATTTTTCTAAGGCTTCAAAGAAAATTGGCGACAGTGACAAATCACCAAGATTTGAGTCCAGCTAGATGCAACACTGGCTCTTTCATCTTGAGCAGTATGGGGTTTTCATTGGGTTTTGTGGAGTTCTCTTTGTCTTGAGGAAGAAGAGACTAGATTCTTTCTAAAAAGTTTGTATACATGTTTGTGAAAAGTGGCAGCTGCAGCCTCTTTAGACCACTTCTTTCCCCCAAGGGAGAGGAAAACAGAAAGCAAAACGGGAATAAGTATCACCTAATATAACAGTGGCCTGGTCCCTCTGGCCAGGTCCATTCAATTTGCCAGCAGGTAGTGGGCTTTGTATGTTGAGTTGCTAGTGTGCAGAGAGTATTTTGCAAGGCCTTATGAGACAGCAATTGGAGAAAGTCAGACCCCTACCTTTGCAAAAGTTAAGAAAGAACCCTAAGCAAGGGTCAAGAGACATTGAACTTCCCTGGGCCTCAGTGCCCTCCATTTTGGAATAAATTTAGTATAACATCACAGGGTTGTTTTGAAGGAAGAAAAGAAAACTAAAATAGGTATCGTTAATTTCCTCATGGTAATAACAGCCATTATGATCAAAACCCTACTAACTGCCACGTTCTGTGCTAAAGGCTCTTAACATACATTCTCTCATTTATCCATCAAACCCACCAGTTTATCCTGCTTTCACATTAAAAAAAAAAAAGAGAAGAAAAGAAAGAAAGGCTAATTAACTTCCCCAAGATCACAGAGCTACTAAATGGAGGGACTGACAAAGAAGGTCTGACTCGAGTCCATGTTCTTAACAATTATTTTCTCAAAGTTCTTTGTTTACTATGAATACCATGTAAAGGCAACTATAGCATTATTGTCTGCTGAAGGGCAAGGCAGGCACAAATATTTTAGCTAAGGTTTAGTGAATGGCAAATATAACAGCAAGACACTAACTATAAAGAGAGCTCTGATTTCCAGTACTGAAAGATTTCAAAAATGGATATGTCCAAGCAGCTTTTGCTTTATGCATCCATTCATTTAAGAGTATTTATTACATATTCCCTATTGCTAGGCATGATGCTAAACCCTTAAATAAAAGTAATATTAATATTTTAAATAGCAGAGTTTTATGGCAAGAGAGTTTTTAGGTAGCCAGGAAAGAAGAATAGGTTGTACCATGAAGGGAGAAAAGTGATTTATATCTGCAAAGGGGAAAAAGAAAGAATGAGTCATCAATAGACCACAGGTAAACATCCGGAAACTAAGCAAGAAATATTCTTTCCACCATTTAAGAATTGTTGTAATACTTAGCTCAATGTCTTGTACACAGCGGGTGCTCAATAAATGTTTGTGGTATGCCTGCAGACATGAATGAATGAATTTTTCCCAGAGATGTGAAGGCCACTAGTGTAACAGTAAACATAAGAGAGCAATGTTTCATCCATCATTCAATTACTCAACAGATTTATATTGGTCACATCGTACCATTGGGTGCTGCTGATACAGACGGCCGCCTGAGGTCTGGAGATGAATTAATCTGTGTGGATGGGACGCCAGTAATTGGAAAATCACACCAGCTTGTGGTCCAGCTTATGCAACAAGCTGCCAAGCAAGGCCACGTCAATCTCACGGTGCGGCGTAAAGTGGTTTTTGCGGGTATGTGTTTCATTCATTCCTTCAGACAGTGTGTTGTCACTTTATTCACAGAAAAGGCCTCCTTCCTGTGTCTGCCTCCTTGAGCATCTATTTTAGCAAATGTTTGCAAATGTGATCAAGCTCAGAATTTCCAGATGGCTTGCTTCTCTCAAACCCTGCAAAAATTACTGTCATTCTGAAGTACTTTAATGTGCTGTTTGCATATGTTCAACAAAGGCTTCCAGAGGAAGGCTAGTTGAATATATATAACTTCCCTTCCATCTCCTTGCAAATCAGAACTTAGCCATCCTCTTCACTTGATGATAATCCTTCAACAAATGAGGTCATTATGAAAGTTAGAAGAGTTGTAGCTTCATATTGAAGACAAAAATTGGGTTTGTGCTACAAATTAAACTCATTAAAAAGTTACCGATTTCTTAACTGTCCTGTGTATTAAACCAAGATTATTATTTTTTTTCTTTCTACAAGAAAGTTGTAGAACTGGCCAGTTCTAGGTCAGCTTTGATTCCTTCTTCCTGCCCATATGCTTAAATATAACCTTCTTCTTTCGGAAATTCTTCCTTCCTCCAACTGCCTTCAGATTTTAGCATTCCCTCCTTGGCATTCTAGTGACTCATGGTTTACTTCTGTATCAGAATCTGCTATTTTGACACAGTGAATTGTGTGTCTGTCCTTTCCCTTGACCTACAAACTTCCTGAAAGCACACGTTGAACACACCTTGATTGTTCAGCTTTGGATGCAGCTCCCACCTTGAAGCCTTTTAAACAGAACCCAGTATGCAGCAGAGGCAACTGTCTTATATCAGTTGAATTACTGGAGAAATGTGACCTGAAATATTATGAATTCTCATGGCATTAATATTAGTGAAACAAATAACTATCAGATAAAATTAATTGGTACCTTGCTTAAAAAAGAGTATAACCCATTTTAAATGGTGTATGATTAATTATAGAATTAAGATATTAAATTCCTGTGTGAGAGTCCTACCTACTGCAGCCATGGAAAACAGTGTTAATCCGCCGTAGATTATGTCCTTAGAGCTTGTTTATGGCCTCACAATCCTTCTAAACGTAGTATTCCATGCAGCTAAAACCAGTCAGCCAGAACTGGTGTTTGAGATGAGATGAAAACTGTTTGACATCCCTGGCCCAAATAGAAATAGTAAGGCAATGTGATTTTTTTTGTTTGTTTCAGGTTTTTTTTTTTTTTTAATTTTAAATACTTTGGGTTTTTAGCTCTGTGTAAAAGGCATGTCAAATATATGAAGAGACATTATGCAAAGCAAACTAGTCACAAAGCAGAAATATTGATTCCCTTTATATGAAGCACCTAGGGTAGTCAAATTTATAGCTAGAATGCAGAATGGTGGTTGCTGGGGAGTGGGGGAAATGGGAAAGGGAGTTAGTTTTTAGTGAGTACAGAGTTTCAATTTGGAAAATGACAAAATTCTGGAGACAGATGATGAGATAGTTGCACAAAAATGTGAATGCACTTAATACCACTCAACTGTACACTTAAAAATGGTTTAAAAATTTGTTACGCTTATTTTCCCACAATTAAAACAACCTATGAAAAGGAAAGCTTTTGAAAATAGATATAGTCTGATCCAGAACTTGGACACAACACACATTTTGTTTTTGGCACAGTTGGTGCCACCTACTATGTTGGCTATTTAGGAGTGCCTTACCCTGCTATCTGACAATAACACTAGAATGGTCACTAAAGTCAGAAGGAGGCCAGTGCATCCAGTTCTGTGATGAGCGTAGATGTTGACACCAGGCAGCTAAGAAGAGAAGCTGTGTGTATGTCTCGCAGGTGTTGTCATGAACTCCACATAGGGCGGGTAGCCTCAATGGTTCCGTCACCTTACTGTTTGTGGCCTGATGGAAAAAGCAGGGTGGAAATGTGACTGGAAGGTAGCGACAATATGAACGGGCATCCAAGGCTGTGTCTGTGCAGCCAAGATGGCGGTCTTTGGGGGCGTAACCCTCACCTACGCTTAGGCCCTTCCCTTTGTGCAATGGGGAAATATTTTACAGCAAGTTGATCTTGCTGCAGACTTGAGAGTGTGTATGTCGACATATAGCATGCTATAAATTACAAACGCTATTTGGGAGTCCGATTTGGTGTTAGGTATGATCAATGTTCCTAGATACTGAATGCTTAATATTTGTCAAGAGAAGCTGCTTTCAATCTGTATATTCAGGTTTTGTGAACCCAGGTGCTGTCTCCTCCCCGCCGTTCATGTTTTGATTTCTTGCAGGAGTTTCGGGGCAGGAGGATGGAGGGGCTGCAGGACGCGGTGATGTAAGCGTGCATCTCTCTGTTACAGTGCCCAAAACCGAGAACGAGGTGCCCTCACCAGCCTCCTCTCATCACAGTAGCAACCAGCCGGCCTCGCTGACAGAAGAGAAGCGCACACCGCAGGGCAGCCAGAACTCGCTGAACACGGTGAGCTCAGGCAGCGGCAGCACCAGCGGCATCGGCAGCGGCGGCGGCGGGGGCAGCGGTGTGGTCAGCACCGTAGTGCAGCCCTACGACGTGGAGATCCGGCGCGGGGAGAACGAGGGCTTCGGCTTCGTCATCGTGTCCTCGGTGAGCAGGCCCGAAGCAGGCACGACCTTTGGTGAGTGCTGAATATGAAATTGCCCAGGGTTTCCCACCATGGAGTTTTTGTTCTCTTGCAAGTGAAAACTGGCCCAGACCTCAATGAGCAGAAATGCTTTATGGCTTCTTGCTCTGGGGTAAAGATTTAATTAGAGATGGAGTTGATTTGGTAGCTCTTTCCCTTCTGAAGACTGGGAATATTTATTCAATCTTTTCAACTTCCATCTTGAGAATATGATCACGCATACACAAAGCATCAGATTTGCGTGAAGTTTGAATAGCGACCCCTGGACAGTATAGACAGTCTACACTTTTTTCCAGAGCAAGGCTTTTGAAAGGTTGTTTGTTTGTTTGAGAAGGAGTCTCGCCCTGTTGTCCAGGCTGGAGTACAATGACGCGATCTTGGCTCACTGCAACCTCCGCCTCCCGGGTTCAAACGATTCTCCTGCCTCAGCCTCAGGAATAGGTGGGATTACAGGTGTCCACCACCACACCCAGCTAATTTTTGTATTTTTAGTAAAGATGGGATTTCACTGTGTTGGCCAGGCTGGTCTCAAACTCCTGACCTCGTGATCCACCTGCCTCAGCCTCCCAAAGTGCTGGGATTACAGGCCTGAGCCACCGCCTGGCTGAAGGGTCTTAAATAGGATAGCACTAATTGCAGTGGTCTCCGAATGGTCTTAAGAATATCTTAAAAGTTTTTACAAGGAGCATATGGTTGTAAAAATGCTCTAGGAAAAATAGAGGTGTAAGGAATAAAAACACTGCATGAGACGCTAGTCCCGCCTCAACTGTGTTCTTTCTCTACTCTATCTCCATAGGAATTTTTATTTAATTTTAAATAATATTTTTACCGTTGCTGGTTAAAATCAGAGTTAAGAGTCATTTGAGTATTAAGACATTGGGGGTTTCAGCAAAGTATGGAGAAACACAATTGTCACCCTTTCAGGAGGTTTACTCTCTGCCAGGTACACTAGCAAAGACCAATAAGAACCCAGATGATTGCAGGAACTAGTGATAAATGAACCTGTTTCCTATTGTAATGTGTTGATTATAGATGTACACTCCAAAAATGATCCACCTTCCTGATAGGGTAAAACGTCATTTGTTATCTCCCAAGCACATTTGTTACTTAGTATGGAATACGACGGGAGAAGGAAAAGGGCTGTGGAGGCTGTGCAGGCTTTTCATTTACCTCAGCTATATCCCTGAATGACTTATCCACATGGAAACTGGCTAGGATCAGCAAGGTGCTACATCCCTTTAGCATTCTCATCCTGTAGAACTCACTTGGCCTCCATTTAGTCTTGATGTAGTTGCTTCCTGCCAGAGCTGTCTCCCCGTAAGTTTTATGTTTAACAGGGGACAGTGTCTCAGCCAGGTCTATGCATGTGTGGCTGCAGTAACAAACGCCCCTTACTAACAGTGCTTTTTGAGCTACATTAATAAAGTCATCATAGCATGTCATGGATGGATGACCTGACATCAAAGCAAGTTTTTTTTGTTTTGGTTTAAAATTAATTTCAGAGGCTGTCCTGCTTAATATAAAAATAAAGAGAAGGAAGAGGGGAGACAGAAATCCCAAATTATTTTCTTCAGATGTACAATAGACTGTCTCCATGCATCCTGTGATGTTCTTAAGTATTTCAGAATTGTCAGTTTCACCTTCTAGAAAGAAACAGCAAATATGTCAAGTGGCAGGTTATGTGTTATGTAATGAATATTGTATTCACACTCACAATTTGGTCTTTGATTGTTTTCCTTTGGCTCTTACAACAAACAAATTAAACTTTCCCTAATACCTTGCATGAGACTTCTGAGCTTTGCTGAGCTTTCCTCAAACCTGCTGTTTGATGCCTTTGTTATACCAGTTGTCCTTGGAGATGAACTAAACTTAGTCAAGACTTTGAATTTGAGCATGGGAGTGTTCCAGCACACCTACCTGTTGGATTCCAATAGACCATTTACTTTTAAAAATTATCTTAACCTTGATGTTCCATCCTGTGATACAAACTCAGGCAAATCTGCTGAAATTCAAAGGAATTAAAGTGCATTTTCCCACATACTTTACCTTTAAGGTCCAAATTATGACAGAAGAGCTTACTCAGTTAGTTTTAATGTCCCTCGTGTTAATTTTGTCACCCTTTCCAAAAGGTAACTCAAGTGCATAACTATCTTCACAGTTCCCAGAAGGACAAATTCTCAAATTAGGTGAATCTGCATAAGAAACTTTGGAACTCAATACATGATTAACTAGATTAACTAGAAATCCTGTGTCAGGCCTCAAAGCTAGCCACCACTCTCTAGAAGTTAGCAGTGACATGTGGTGCCTCAAAGTGCACGATAAACCTTTCTCTCCAAATGCACTTTGCCTGGTCTTTGATATTGTGGATGTGCAGTAACTGATGATGAGAAAGGAGATGATTAAAGGAAAAAGGGTGAGAAATGATTTGAACCTAGCTTTGGATCAATGTCCTCAGCCTGAATAGGTACTAAATTTTCATAGTCCTTTGAGGGGATTTTTGCGAGGCAGAAGGATGATTTCAGAGCTAATGAACCAGTCGGGCCACACTCTGAAAGCACATGAGACTGGCTGCCTGAGCAAAGGTCCTAAAAGGAAAAATAAGCTTCAAGGTTGGGTGCTTTCTTGGCTCATCTCTTATAATTACACCCTTTTTCTAAAGCTTTCATCATTCTGGGGAGAAGGCAAAAAGTCTGAGTGTTTGTTCATTAGGTGTTTTCAGATAGAATTTTTCGTACTAGCAGACTCTTATGCCTCACCAGATGCCCAGTGATTATTTTTCTAAATGGAGAAAGAACAAAACATTGGCAGAAGCTTAAACAACAGCTGGCAAAAATGAAGTGACATGAACACAGAATGAGTAAAAGCATCCATTCCAGCCTTGGGTTTCACATTTGCAGTCCCAAAATAAGCCAACAGCGAGTTATTTTGGGGCTCTTAAAAATCTTTGAAGTTGCCAACTATCCCAAATTTTGTAATTGATTTAAGAAGGAAAGCTGGAGGTTCCCCTAATTTTGAATCTGGAAAGGATGGCAGCAGTGAATTCTAGTTTCAGGGCAGTAGCTCCTAATACAGATGCCCTGAATATTGCCAATGTTTTGACCATCAGTGCAGACCTCTCCTTTAATAACATTTGCTTAATGCTTTAATTAATTAACACTTAACCTTCTCTTTCCCTTTTCAATCCTTTTTCTCCTCCCTTTGCTATATTTCCACGTAACTTTACAAAATTAAAACTCAATATCAAAGCAGGCAATGCATGTGTGGCTATGCCTCACAAAATAGGTCGGATTATTGAGGGGAGCCCTGCTGACCGCTGTGGCAAGCTGAAAGTAGGAGACCGGATCTTGGCAGTAAATGGATGTTCCATCACCAACAAATCCCATTCAGACATTGTGAACCTAATCAAGGAAGCAGGAAACACAGTTACCCTCCGCATCATTCCTGGGGATGGTAAAGTATACCTATTATCTCTCTCTCTCTCTCGCTGTCTCTGTTTTTTCCTTTTCTCTGTCTCTCTCTCTCTCTCTCTTTCATTAGTGTTCATGTAATTGAATAGTGTTAATTTAGTGGCAGCTTTATTCATCCCTAACTAAATATACCCAATAAATAAATGTGAGCCATTGTTACTAACCCATACCTCACCCTCTTATGTAATTAATCCTCTAGCCCTGTGACCCTGTCTTGCTACAGATACAAAAGTTTCAGAAAAATCTCCACCCCTTCCCCAACTTATTTAGTTTTTGATGTCCTTGTCTTCAAAACCATAAAATAGTTTTAATACAGGTGGTACAGATCCCCTGATATGTATAATATACACTGTATAATGTGGTGACATGACAAAACCTGCATGGTGGCAATTCAGAGCCAATACTATGGTTTTTTAGAATAAGCAAATACATCAAAGTTTTTTATTTAATGGGAGAATCTAAGAGTTTGTGTCTACTGGATTTGTCCCTAATTTTTGGATGTGAATGAAAAAAGAATGAAATCTCTATAATTTTGATAGATTGTATCTGCATTAAACTAGGCCTATCATATCATTGTTTGTTTGTTTGATTAGTTAAATTCAAATCTTTGGTTCTTTTATATAAGTGGTGATTCTGCCAGGGAACATTGGCATTGTCTGCAGTGGGTGCAAGTAGCATTCAGTAGAGGTCAGATATGCTTCAAAACATCCTGGGGAACACAAAGCAGCCATCACAATAAAAAGTTACCCAGCACAAAATACAAATATCCATTGTATTACTCATGTTTAATAAAAATTAAGTTGAGGCTGGGTGTGGTTGCTCACGCCTATAATCCCAGCACTTTGGGAGGCGAAGATGGGCAGATTGCCTGAGTTCAGGAGTTCGAGATCAGCCTGAACAACATGGTGAAACCCTGTCTCTACTAAAAATACAAAAATTAGCCAAATGTGGTGGTGCGTGCCTATAGTCCCAGCTACTTGGTAGGCTGAGGCAGGAGAATCGCCTGAGCCCAGGGTGTGGAGGTTGCAGTAAGCAGAGATCACACCACTGCACTCCAGCCTGGGCAACAGAGCGAGACTCGTCTCAAAAAAAAAAAATTTTTTTAAGTTGATACACTAATGTCAGGAAGTATAGCTCCTTTAGAGAATTAGGTCCTGAATATTCACTTTATTCTAAGCTGACTTTGCCCTTGGGAGGAAAGTGATACTTTTCTCAAGATGTTTAAGTGTCTTTTCGGTCTTGCTATATATTTTATAAAATATATATTCTAAAAGTCAGTGAGTATTTCTCAAGGAAAAAATTTGATTTATAAAGATAGTGTGATAAAAACTCTATGCCATATATCTATAAATAAGAAAATTAGAGGTTTCATCTGAAAGTTATTTACCAAATGAGTATTTTTATATACTAATTGCTAGAAAGTGAACCTTATAGTTACAGATTTGAGAAGTATAGCCGGTGCCTTACAGAAAAGGTAAATGCAAAACCAAACAGTAAATATTTGAAAACTGTTGATTGCAAGAACAGAGAACTTTCTCTGCACCAAAAATATCCCACACTAAATGTGGAGGAAAAAATTGACTTCTTGAATGATGGTCTACTTCACGCTCCTTCAAATGCATGGTTACTAATTTGCCATCTGGTCTGGAGTTCATTCTACCAATTCACCACTCTGGAAAGCTATTACAATTTAGGAAAGTGGTCACAAGATGATAGAACATAGGTTCCTAATGGGAAGGATGAAAGAAGCCAGAAAATACAGTGAGAAGTGATTGAGAGAGCCAGATGCAGTCCAGACATCCCTCCTTTCATTGGGCTTCACTTTATTGCGCTTTGCAGGTACTGTATTTTGTACAAACTGAAGGTTTGTGGCCACCCTGCTTTGAGTAAGTCTGTTGGTGTCATTTTTTCAACAGCAGATGATCACTTTGTGCCTCTGTGTCACATTTTGGTAATTCTCACAATATTTCGAGCTATATCTGCTGTGATGACCTGCAATCAGTGATCTTTGATGTTGATATTATAGTTGTTTGGGGGTGCCACAGACCATACCCACATAAGATGACCAACAATTAATAAACATGTGTGTTCTGACTGCTCCACTGACTGACTATTCCCCATCTCTGTTCCTTTCCTTGGGCCTACCTTTTCTAAGATAGAGCAATATTGAAATTAAGGCAATAAATAACCTTACAGTGGCCTGTAACTCTCTTCATGTGAAAGAAAAAGTCACACATCTCTCACTTTAAATCAAATGCTAGAAATAATTAAGCATAGTGAGGAAGCCATGTAAAAAGCTGAGATAGGCCAAAAGCTAGATCCCTCATGCTAAACATTTAACCAAGTTGTGAATGCAAAGGAAAATTTCTTAAAGGAAATTACAAGTTCCACTCCACAGAACACATGAATTTTAAGAAACCAAAACAACTTTATTGCTGATATGGAGAAAGTCTGAGTGATTTGGATAGAAAATCAAACCAGCCACAACATTCCCTTAAGCCAGAGTCCAATCCAGAGCAAGTTCCTAACTCCTCAATTCAGTAAAGGCTGAGAAAGGGGAAGAAAGCTGGAGAAGATAGTTCAAAGCTAGCGGAGGTTGGTTCATGAGATTTAAAAAAATAAACCATCTCTACAACATAAAAGTAGAAGGGAAGCAGCAAGTGCAAATGTAAAAGCTGCAGTAAGTTTTCCAGAGAATTTAGTTATTAAGATCATGGACGAAGGTGGCTATACAAAACAACAGATTTTCAGTGTAGAAAAACAGTCTTCTAGGGAAAGAAGATGTCATTTAAGACTTCCCTAGCTAGAGAAGAGATATCAGTGCCTAGTTTCAAAGCTTCAAAGGACAGGCTGACTCTCTTGTTAGGGGCTAATGCAGCTGATGACCTTAAGTTGAAGCCAGTGCTCATTTGACTATTCTGAAAATCCTAGAACCTTTCAGAATGATGCTAAATGTACTCTACCTGTGCTCTAACAATGGAACAACAAAGCCTGGATGACAGCACGTCTGTTGTGCTGTGGTTTATTAAATATTTTAAGCCCACTGTTGAGACCTACTACTTAGGAAAAGGAATTTCTTTCAAAATATTACTGCTCACTGACAATACACCTGATCGTCCAAGAGTTCTAATGGAAATGTACAAGGAGATGAATGTTGTTCTCATGCCTGTTAACACAACATCCATTCTGAAGCTCATGGATCAAGGAGTCATTTTGACTTTTAAGTCTTACCATTTAAGAAATACATTTTGTAAGGCTGTACCTGCCATGGATACTGATGGCTCTAATGGATTTGGGCAAAGTAAATTGAAATTCTTCTGGAAAAGATTTACCCTTCTAGATTCCATTAAGAACATTATGATTCATGAGAGGAGGTTAAGATATTGATGTTAACAGGACTTTAGAAGAGTTGATTCCAACCTTCATGGATGACTTTGAGGGGTTTGAGACTTCAGTGGAGGAAGGAGCTGCAGAAGTTCCTTATGGTGGAAATAGCTAGAGAAGTATCATTGGAAGTGGAACCTGAAAATGTGACTGAATTGCTGTAATCTCATGATAAAACTTGAACAGATGAGGAGTTGCTTCTTATGGATGAATAAGAAAATGGTTTCTTGAGATACAATCTACTGGTAAAGATGTTGTGAACATTATTGAAATGACAAAGAATTTCAAATATTACATCAATTTAGTTAATAAAGCAGTGGCAAAGTCTGAGAGGATTGATTCCAATGTAAAAAAAAAAATTTCTCCTGAGGCTAAAATGCTATCAAACAGCATCACACTGCAGAGAAATCTTTCGTTAAAAGAAAAGCCCTGTTATGTGGCAAATTTCATTATTGTCTTATTTTAAGAGGTTGCCACTCAACCTTCAGCAGCCACCGCCATGATCAGTCAGCAGGCATCAACATCAAGGCAAGACCCTCTCTCAGCAATAAAAGATTACAACTCACTGAAGGCTCAGATGATCATTATTAGCATTTTCTTTAAATAATTTTAAAATTAAGATATGTAATTAAACATAATGCTGTTGCACACTTAATAGACCACAGTATAGTGTAAACACAAATTTTATATGCACTGGGAAACCAAACAATTTGCATGACTCACTTTACTGGAATACTTGCTTTTTTATTGCCATGGTCTGGAACTGAACCCATGATATATCAGGGTTATGCTTTGTGTATAAATTTAGACACATTTATCTACATGCCATGGAAAGATTTCAAACAGACTAACCCAAAAGAACAGGACACAGGGATTGACTTGCTGGGTTTATAATTGGTCAATCTTAACATGAGAATGAGGACATCCAAAAAAGGAAAGAAAGTACTCCCTGAGCAAAGAGCTTAGAAAAAGAATTTGAAGTCAGTAAAGACATACCTACTCAGAAGCAACTTATTCTACAGTGTAGATTGTAGATGTTGACTTAACTTAATAAAATACACAGCTGGGTGCACATACCTGTAATCCCATCATTTTGGGAGGCTGAGGCAGGAGGATCACTTGAGCTCAGGAGTTCCAGACCAGCCTAGACAACATAGCGAGACCTTGTCTCTACTAAAAATTCAAAACACTTAGCTAAGAGAGGTGGCATTCACCTGTAGTCCAACTATTTGGGGCAGGGAACAGGAATTGCTGAGGCAGAAGGATGGTTGGAGCCCAAGAGGTTGAGGTCGAGGCTTCAGTGAGCCCTGATGATGCCACTGCACCCAGCCTGGATGACAGAGTGAGACCCTGTCTCAAAACAAACAAAATAAAACAAAATACCCTGGAAAAAACTTTTTTTAAGCCTGAACACCAAAAATTATCATGCAGGATGGATTATCCAGTAACAGTAGGCATTATAAAGGCAATTTTAAAATTTAAATACTCAGGAAATATACAAGTCACATAGACATTGTGTGCTACCCTGGTTAGAAAAAAGTAAACATAAAACTGATACAAGATAGGTAAGGATTTTGTTGTTGTTGTTGTTTTATTTTG